CACATAACTCTTTATATGCATATTCATATTATTAATGGTAATAATAATAATAATAATGGATCATAGTCAAAATCATAATATATTCATGCCTTGACTATCTATATATGACCGATCATATTCCATGGTGTATATTCAATTGAAAATCTACGTTGACAACTAATATATTAGAATAAAAGCACGTGTTCAATCTCTTTAACACTATTCGATATCAAATGATCATGCCGACTATTTACACACACACACACACACCCCACCTACCCACCCACATACACATATATAGATATAGATAGATAGATACACCACCCAACTTACCAACCCACTCATTTATACATTGTGATTCACCTAACTCTCACTCTCTCGCTCGGTCTCTCGCTCGCTCGCTTGCGAATAAATTATCTTAACTCATATTGACGTTAATAATCATAATCATAATCATAATGCTAAATGTCACAATACACAAATGCACACATGCACATACACACGTACGCACGCACGCACACATATTACATATACATACACAGGTGTGTGTAGTACAACTTGAATATTGGCACACAGGTGCATCATATTCATTATGCATTGAATGATATGCATAAGAGTGTATCAACTCAATATATATCTTAGAGACTATTTCTAATCATGGCCATCTTGATAATAAATAAAAAAAAATTAGTCAAGTGACAATAATTGAAATATAACTTGACGAATATTCAATCATTGACTACTACCTCCCTACCTCCCTACCTCACTCTCTCTCACTCCTCATTCGTTTACTCAATCATTTATTCACTTAATCATTAATATAGTAGAATCATAAGTTGAATGAAATCAGAATTCAATTTGAATGACTAATATAATAATTATGATTGTTACTAGGCTATCCTACTATTGACTTCAATCAAATAAGTCATTTGAATCATTGAAATCATAAGTCAATTGAAAAGAGATCATCATGGAAGAACTGAATGGTTGTTTTGTCCTAGTAATGCGTCGTGAGAATTTGAACCCAGGATCTTATCATTCTCACACGTGAATGCTTAACCATTTGATCATTGAGCTGGCTGACATTCAACGGTGTTAATGTTTAACTTGAACTCATCCACAAAATTGAGTGATACATGAATAAATGGATTTATTAATCACTAAGAGGATAGTACGATATGCTTTAAGAGTTTATGATTAGTGAATTTGATTGAGAATAGTATCTAATGGTAGAGGAACTTAAATTGGAAATGTTAAATTTAATCAACAACAAAAAGAATGTGGCTAAGTTGATAAACAAGTTAAGATCTGTGATATTAATGGATTCTAAAGTAGGAAAGATGAAAGTTATATAAATGTAGCACAAGAGGTTCCAAGTTCGATCCTCTGTAGTGATAGAGCAATAACAAATGAATTGTAATGATCCTCTTTCTTGAAAAAAAAAAGAAGATTGTTTGACCACTAGTTGAATGATTGTAACTAACTATGAAATCCAGATTGTATATTTTATCATATTTTCAACTTGTTAGTCCGATGTGCCTAGATCCCGATATTTAGTTTCACGCTTAAAACAGTAGCTCAATGGACAATGTTGATATTTCAGCCGCCTGGTGTTAGCTTTAACTCTGAGATATACATACGTCCTATAGCATACATCTTCATTGTTTATTTTAGCCTAGAACTGTTCAATACGATGTTTTACAATGATTAAAAGTTCGACACATTGTGTTTGTTTAGTTACCATGGTGTCATTGATAGTAAATTTCTACTTACTGATTACACCATTATTATTGTCTCTATGATTTTATACGAAATAATTGGTTCCAAATAGTTTTTCATCATTAAAAAATAACATCATAGATAACAAGAAATGATTAGATGATCATTTAGAAGTGTACAAACGATCTATTTCACATTAGTCTTTCAGTAAATGTGATAGGCATCGAGACCTTAAATGAAGAACTTTTTCAAATGTAGGACAAGTCATTGATGTTACCACAGCCTTAGATGATATCTAAAACTATACAACAATACAGAATATTAACATTCCCAGTCGTTTAATCCAATATAGATTGTTATTATGCTCAACAAAATGATAGTTTATCGAATCACAATTGATTGATCACTGGGTGGTGATCAATGTCATGTGTGTCAAAGTCCTTATTTTAGTGCAGATCGAATGCTATCGACCAAGTTGCAATGTGGCAACCAGTCTAGGTGAATCAACACTGCGTGCACTATATATTGAGATTTGGATGGTGGTTGGAGGTAGTCAACAGGAAATGCTGGACCCGGGTTTCGTGCTACTTGGCACTCGTCAGCAAGGTATACCTGTAATCTTGAGGGAACTGGTGCTCCCAGCTTCACAGTCAGAGACGTTACCACTGAGCTATCCAGGCCGCAACTGACCTCCTGTAAGACTGTGATGTAATCACAATTGATTGATCACTAGATGGAAGCACCAGTTCCCTCAAGATTACAGGCACACCTTGCTGATGAGTGCCAAGTAGCACGAAACCCGGGTCCAGGATTTCCTATCGACTGCCTCCAACTACCATGTAATCTTGATAGCTTATCGAATGTTATCAATCACTGGTTAGTTATATGTAATGTAGAATCTAGTACTTATGTGAATCAGTTCAAGTTGAAACAGTAGATCATCCTAATGACATAATCCCAATATCACTGGTAACAGAAATGAATGCATCCGTGATATGTCATTCAACATCTTCGACAATTTGTTTGTATGTTTGTATGGAGCCTAAACCAAATAGTTTGAACCCTATTTACATGTCTGTGTATTGGTTTATTTTTTATCGCTTCTTGACTTATTTCAATCTTCGCCTATATTAAATAGTTGAGTTTAATGTTTATATGAAAAAAAGTCCAATAGTCAATTTGATTATAAATTCAGTGTAAAAAGAGATCACTTCAGTGAATGAATAGATTATTGATAGTCCAAATAGAAATGTTGAAGCTCATTGACTAGATTATCAATTTGGTCAATGAAAGTCATTCAGTAAGAACTTAGGAACTATAATAACCGAATAAAAAAGATTGTTTTATTTCTTAATAATAATAAGTTCGAACCCCATTCAGTATATTCCTTTTGAAATACGTATTGATGGCGCTGTCCAGGAGAACAATCAAAGTTTCAGCAACCAAACTATCCAACTTAGAGACCACAACACTCGCAATATTCACACATAAAGAGCTATAAATATTTCCCATCATTAGTATATTCTTTCACACCCATCCATACACACGTCAAGCACACATAACATTCCACTTAAATTCGAGATTAGTATTTGATACATTATAAATGCTCTCCACTTTCCATAAATTTACTGCGTGTTGTATGATTGATTAATGTCAAAATGAGGATTTGTGGAGATTGTAGTAATTTTAATGGTTGAATTCATGAGTCGATTCAAACTAGACCAGCAGTGAAAACCTGGAAGCACCACTGAATGGCTGTTTCGTCTTAGTATGAAACTCCTCAGTTGTTTGTACCCACCATTCTGAACGCGTTCATGCTTGAGACCGAAGGTCCTAGTTTCGAATCATGTGTGAGGATTGTGGGTGTACACTTCTTTGTCCCATACTAGAATGAAACAACTGTTCAGTGCTTCCAGGTTTCCAATGGTGATCTAACTTACATCGACTCATGGATTGATTAACTATTCAAAAAATTTTTCAAGAAATATCACCAAATACGGACATCTTTATAGGAAAGTCCAATAAATGATGAACGTTTGGCGTTAAATTTAGAAAACCTCTCAATTTTATTCCATCTCCCTTCCCCTTTAATACTCGGATACTAACCCTTCAGTTCTCATAGTCTTTAATCCAATTTAAATAATACAGTTTATAACAAAAAATTGAAGTGTTCAAATACTAAATTACTGCTTATACTCTTACTATCTCTACCACTACGGGATTTGAATCGACAACGGCATCTTTGTGTTAATGTGGTATGGTAGCTCAAACTGATGTACATACGTACAAAGTTTTATGTTTTGACTGACTGATGGATGATTTGCATTCTGGCTAAATTGAGTGACGTTAACACATAAACATACACACATACAAACACAAGTTCTATCCCTAACACAATAAAGTTTTCTACACTTCTGTAGAGTTAATGACAGTAACAAGTCGGTTATCTAATACATTCGTCAAGTTTTCAATTCCTCTAATCACAATTTTAAATTCATGACTAAATTCAATTAAACAACAATTCGACTATATAACTCCACGTCATTATCCTAAATCGAACTTAAGTACTCCAAACGTTGATCTATTCAATATGTCAAATATTTCCCATTCATGTTTAACGATCAATATAGTTGAAGTTTAGTAGTCATAGTTACGTACTAAAACTTAGGGAAATACTCTTTTAAATTATTCCATGGTATTCATCTAATAATCAATTCAATTACCCTAGTCATAGAATTCAATACTTAATTTTCTCGATTTTAGAGACACTGAAATCTTAAATTACCGAGTTCATTTAAAAATGGTTTCTGATTGAAAACAAACCAAAAAAATATGAGTAATTTTAATATTATACGAAATGTTTCATGACTTCATTAAATTTGGACCACTATGGAAAACCTGGAAGCACTGGATGGCCATATCGTCTTAGTATGGGATTCCTCAGAAGTGCGTGTCCACAGTACCGCTTAGTAAGATTCTAACTCAGGACCTATTGGTTTTGATCAGATCTGTTGTAAAATAGTAACTCATTGTAGGTTAGTTAAAGTTAGACATTAACACTATTGGATGCCGATTGGCTCATTGGTTTAGAGGTGAAGCATTCGCACAAGAGACTGATAAGTCCTGAGTAAGAATCTCACTATGCGGGACCGTGGATACGTACTTCTGAGGAGTCTCATACTTAAACAAAACAACCGTCCATTACTTACAAGTTTTCCATGATGATCTATCTTCAATGAATTCATGATCTGATTAGTCTATAATATAACATAGATCTTTTAAAAAAAAAAACAACAACTCACTTCTGAATTGATTCGTTGATTTCTTCATTGTTTCATCAAAATTCTCTTTTATATTTATTGTTCTACACAATTCTATATCATCAATTTGTTTTCGATTATTTTCTCTATCATTATGATCTGGATCTATTTTCAATTTGGATCTTATTCTTAAATGATTATAATTATTATATTTTGTAAAATATATTTTCATCTTAGACAATTTTCTCAGTTTTGATAAAGTCCTATTCATTGAAGATGTCGATGTCGATGTTGACGAAGTCGATGTTGAAGATGTTGTTGACAATGTTGATGTAACCGGATGATCAAACATAATTAATGTTTGTAAATATTTACGTAAACGTATATCATTATATCGTTTATAATCCATACAACGTATATAATGCTTCAATTGTTTAATCCATAATTTCATTTTTAATTTATGTTTATGTTGTTTATTTATTATTGATGATGTAAATAATGGTAATGATGGTGGTATCAATGGTGAATGAGGATAACAATTATTGTTGTTAGGATAATGATGATCATGATGATGATGATTAGATTCCTCGTTCGAATCTGTTGAATGTGGATTCAATGTACTATTCAACATAATAGAATTAATAATAATAATAATTAATTCATACAATAAAATGAATTACTTATATATATGTTTGTTACGGTTAAAGTAAGAGGGTAAATTTATAAAGATATTCCATATACCACTTACTATCCACTCATATTCATTGTATGTATGTAACCATGTATATGTGTGCGTGTGTGTATGTGTGTGTTTATGTATACTTGGGACATAGGTTTTATCTGTAACGGTTATCACAATTTTATGAATATCCAAAAAAAAAAACTATATGTCATAATCATATATCAGGTAGTAGTGGATAGGGGGGGGAACAGAGACATAAGGAAAATGAATACTTTGAGTATACATATGTTTATCCATCTTTTATATGCGTATGTGCGTGTGTGTATGCGCTCATGCGCGTAAATGTGTGTGTACGTGTATTCATTTGTTTGAGCATAACGCTTATCATAATGATAATGAAACTTTCAATAATAATAATAATAACAACAACACCGACAACAAAATGGTAACAACGAATAGGAAGGCTTATAACTTTTTGTTTTGTTTCTTTTTTTTACAAAAAAATAATCATAATCATAATAATATTGACCAATCATATAGGAAAGAGATAAATAATATTGCGAAAGACAATATACACACTCACTCACACACACACACATCTCACCCCTCAACCTCAGTCCACCCCCCACCCCAAGTTTCTCCTATAAAATTACTGTTGGTTACATTGAAAGAAAGAAATATGTATGTATATATATATATATATATATATATATATATATATATATATGAAAACTACAAAAGGGATATAATGGTGATGATGATGAGGATGATGATGATGATGATGATGATGATGAAAGTGTTGAAAAGGGATAAATGTATAGCGTGAGCAACTATTCATAAGAGCATATAAGCATATTGTATGTGTATATATGTATGAATATTATAATTTTTTTTAAAAAAAAAGTATATTTATTTAAATCAAATTCATAGACTTTCATTTACCTGAATGAATGATCGATGTCTGTCTATCGATCAAAAGTTTTGAATTCATTACGGGGAAAGTATGGTCAATTTTGTATCCATGTCCACGTATATAGATATATATATATATCTTAACAACTATATATATATATATATATGTATATCATTTATATTCATATATGAGTATATGCATATATCGATCAACCATGTTGAATATATATATGTATATAACGAGAGAGAGAGAGAGAGGGACGGAGATCCGGAGGGAGGTTGGAAATAAATTTTTAAAAGTTTTTCTCTTAGTATCAATTATTTTTAAACTAAAATCTAATTGTTTAAATAAAATTATCCTTTTGATAATAGTGTGATAGAAAAAAATTTCACACACATATGCATATATATTACTTACTTACTTACTTACGCCTGTTACTCCTTATGAAGGAGTATAGGCTATCCACTAGAACTCTCTATTCAGTTCTCTCTTGGTCAATCCTGCCTAGTACTTTCCAGTTTCATATTCCTCATTTTCACACACACACACATACACACCCCCGAAACAAGAGAAGAATAGAGAACGAATATTTTCTCTTTTTTTTCAAAAAATATCCCCCCCCCAAAAAGAAACTTATCATGAAATTTTCCAAAATTTCATTTGTTTCTCCTTTCTGTTTTTGTTTCAAAATATAGAAATAAATAAATAAAAAAGAAAAGAAAGAAAGAAAGAAAGTAAGTAAAGAAGTCTCCTGTATAGAATGATTAATTCATGACTGATTATAAAAGTTAAATATATTAGTATAATAAGGATGAATTTAAAATAACCGCGATGAAAGTTTAGCTGTTTTTTAACCAATCAGAAAACAGCTTTCAAAGAAGTAAAGTGTATTGATAAGTTGATAATAAGGGAAATATTAATAATACAAAGTATTTTATATTATAAATCTAAATAATAAACAAATCCTGGATTAGTTGAAGTTAGGCATTAACACCGTTGGATGCCAACCGGCTCAGTGGTCTAGTGGTTAAGTGCTCACGCACGCGAAACCAGTAGGTCTTGGGTTCGAATCTCTCAGGGGGAGAGGTCGTGGATGCGCACTGCTGAGGAGTTCCATAATGGGACGAAACGGCTGTCCAATGCTTCCAGGTTTTCCATGGTGATCTAGCTTCAAGTGACTCATGATCTTAACCATTAAAATTACTATAATATCCACAAAGCCCATCTAATATAAATCCGTATAGATTTAGATTGTATATCTTTAACCTTTCAAAATAACCTAAACAGATATTGAACAGTCGATGTTCTGTTCATTGAAAGGATCATTTAACTTAAAGTTAAGATTAAAGATTCAGAATTGACATTAACTTTAATGTAGATGTCCTATGTAGCTAGATGAATGAATGAATGAATGAATTGATTTCTATTAAATTTTCAAGTATAACAACTTGACTAATTGATTGATGAAATGGGAGCATCGAGTAAGTAATACAGTTGTTTGGAAACGGGTACTAGACAAGGATGGCAAATCAGTTGATGAAGTAGTGAAACTTCATCAGTTGAGATGGCTGGGACATGTGTTACGTATGCCCAACCACCGACTGCCTCGACGTGCGATGCCCAATGATATAGGAGTAGGTTGGAAAAAAGCTAGGGGTGGCCAGAACAAAACATGGCACAAATCCATGAAATCACTGGCAAGTGGACTGATTCATGTTGGTGGGTATAGACTACCTGGTTGGCATACGTGATATGATAGCAACCGATGGTTAGAAACCTTGAATGACATGGTTCGAAATCGTTTGTAATGGCGCAGGTGCATGCACTCTTTGTGTCCTCCCAAATTCTAATCTTCTGAATTCTTCATGTACCTTTCTTTTTTCTCTTTCTAAATTTATTTCACCGGATTATACTCCTTGAATAACATCTCCAAACCCTAACCTTTCCGACTACTGCTTATACTCTTACTACCTCTACCACTACGGAATTTGAGTCGACAACTACAAGTCTGTGCTAATGTGGTATGGCAACTCGAACTGATGTACGTACGTACGACGTTCTACGTTGTTACTGACTGACTGACTGACTGTGAAATGTAATGTCATCAGGTTAGCACTTATTTCAGGACTTAGGAATGATATTGATTTGTACAAACAAAATTTACTTTCTATCCGTTAAAATTTTTTTTTGATCAGTCTATTTGAATTTCACAGAAAAACTCAGAATTCAATAGCTAAATGGATAATGCAATGACGTTTGAAACGAACGATGATGAGTTCGAGTCCCGGAGTGAACATCAACTTTGAGGTGTAGGTACATCCGGCTGACGAGTCCTAAATAGGACTAAATGTGCTTCATGGATTCCATTGCTAGCCACTATCCATATTTGTTCAAAAAGCTTGTGACTTATGGTAATATCGAGTCAATCCTTACAGGATGCACATATGCCAATAAGAGATTGATCAATTGCAGTCCTAAAATTTAATGGGAAGATTCAAGTAAACAACACCAATTGAATATGAATTGTTTTTTCGTAATGTTATTAATTATGTCTAGACATCTTTATGTAATGAATAATGAATTATCGGTTTATCTTATCTTATGTTCTTTACTTCCCTGGATATTATCAAAATTTTCATTGTAGACTGTTTGAGTACACACACCTCTGAGCTAGGATGTTACATATTTACAAATGAATTATGATTTAAATTAATATTATTAATATAGATTGGCTATTAATCGAGATCATGAATGGATTGATGCTAGATTATCACTGAAAACAATAAAGCACCGTACTTCCAATTCGTCTTAGTATGGGACTTCTCAAAAGTGTGCATTCACGACCACACACACATGGGATTCGAACCCAGGACCTTCGGTCTCACGTGCGAACGCCTAACTTCCAGACTACTGAGTCGACATACAATTGTGTAAATGTCTAGTCTTAACCGATTACTATTCTCTATTTGATATTCATTTATAACTTCATATGTAAATCTGCACACGAAATTGATTAGTTTGTGTTGCGAATTTGTGCTTTCTAAGCGAAATACCCCGATTTAAGGTTTAGTTCTGTAATGAACGAACACTCAAGTGCGGACAATAAATGTATATTTTATATAAAATTACAGAATATCTTGATAAAATATGAGAATCATTCATTGGATAATTCGTTTGCAAATTTCCATCATATGTCCTTCACGGTCAGTATGATTCTCCCAATTTACAATTCCTTTCTATTCTCATTGACTCAACATTTTTGATCGTATACTGTTGAGGTTTCCACTTCCGATTAATGCCACATACTACTTATGTCACATGCTTTTGTGATTAAATTGATCAAACTTTTTTTATTACAAAGAGACACATGAATCTCTGGTTCATCATTCTTTTGACAGATTGTTGTCTTGCACTCCTGTGGACGACATTTTTTAGGTTGATAAACAGTTCGTCTCATTCTTTATTTCGTTCGAAATGTATTCTCCTAATAAGGGGGAATAAACTGTGTGAAGAATCAGTCGCAGTTAACCAATAATATAACATATACTACGACTGTGATGTGTGCTACTGATGCCGGCAGATATAAGTAGTATGCATCCCCAATTGAAAGTGAAATATCTGGTGGCAGAAGTTTAAGAAGATCAACAAGAAGAGAACGAGAACAGAGAATGATTGGTATGAAAACGAATGAACAATCACATCTGAGACAATTCATTGACATTTTACAAATGAAGAATTTACTGCATGGTTCTCAGATTTTACCAAGTTATTCTGTCCAAAATAGGTCGAAACGCTCGACCTCAATACCACTGCTATCCACCATCCATCTTTGTTCATGATGCTTGTAGTTTAAAGCAATCTGCACAATACGCACAATTCCAATAAGAGATTGGTCAATTGGAGTCCTAAACAACACTGAGAAGATTCAAGTGAACAATATCAAGGAAATTACAAATGATTGGTCACTGGGTGGTGATCAGTGTTATGTATGTTAGGTCCTTCTGAGTGCAGATAAAATCTTATCCACCAAGTTGCA